GGATGTCATAGAGAAGAGACTGCCATGGCCACAGCTGTCTTTATCAGGACTCAAGTGCAAGACTAGTCTGGGCAGTATTTCCTTCAGAATCTTCTGGAAAACACAATAAATTCATTTATGGATGTGCATTTTCCTTCTTCAGGGCTACAAATGCCTTATATTAATGTCTACTACTAAATTTCTATTTACATTTTGGGTAGAGCAGAAATTTCATGTCTTCAAAATAATTTTGGGCACCTGGTACTTCTCTTCTGTCCAAAGGGTTTGTTATTGTCACTCTTAGTAAATTTTACTATGTGAGATTTTTGAATGAGGCTAATCAGGATGTTTTCTTGGTCTTCACCATTTTATTTACAGTTAGTTACTTTCCAGTAGGCAATTCATTTCATTCAAGGCTCTTTCTCACCTTTCTCACCCAGCCTCCTTAAAAGACAGAGCTCTGCTGCTCTTCTGCCCTCAAGTATTTAAGTACAGCTTCCACAAAGACCAGACATTGTCAATACCGTAAGGGTCAGTTTTATGTGGTGCCATTAATGATGACACTTCAATCAGTGAAAGCCAAAACATAAAAATACCCAAAGCAGCCCCTTTAGTTTCCTTCATTAAAAAAAAAAAAAAAAAAAAAAAATTGTGAAGTAAAAAGTAGCACGATATCTGTACTACACCTGGAAAAGCAGCAGCACAGAAATTTAAGACAGCTAAAGTTGTGCTTCCAAGAGTTGCTGGTGCTGCATGAAAGAAGTACCATGACCCCACAATCTCATGTAATTCTGCTTTGAATGCTAGCTCAGAGGACTGCCAGCACCACTGCAGTCTGAAGTACTGACTCATTTTACAGAGAAAACAGCTTCAAAACTAAACAAAACCTGATGCAAGACCTTGATGAGAGAGGGAGCATAATAAAGGGGGAACCTTGAGGAGATTCCTTTTCATGTAGCAAAAGAAAGGCCTCCTCTGGCTTTGTGTCAGTCTCCTATTTACTAACGTGGAGGATGGAGTGATCACGTTGGTGTAGCTGTAGAGAGAGATGTGTGTATTACACACAAAGGTGTGGGGGTGTGTGTAAATGCAAAATATGCACCTTTCTTCCTGGAAAAACAACCTTAACAGGTAAGCTAAACAGTCAGATAAATTTATCTTCTGGGCAACGTGCCATGGGTCTGACATTTGAATGTTCATCCCACTGTTCTCAACAGCTCTGTTCCATCCCTGAGATCAGGAGCTCAGTGCTGGAATCACTGAGGAAAATTCTATTGACAGTGCAATTCAGGAGATTGGGTTAAACAGCAATATTGCTCCCTCTTGCTTTAAACTTAAGATAACTAAGAGCATAATTTTGGTGTCTTGTCTCTTTTAATTTCCTATGACAAGCTGCATTATGAAGTTTCTCTTTGAGAGATTTATGAAATTCTTTCCAAAGCCATTTTTCTTTTTGTCTACATCCCTTTCTCAGTTAAAAAGCCATATCTAAAATTAAAAATGTCGTCTGACATGTGGGTCTCAGAAGAACATATTTCAGAAATCAAAATCCAAAAAGACACACTTAACTGTGCAGCCACTCAGTTCAAGATGAATCAAAAGTTCCTAAACTTCATTCTTTTCATAATGAAATCTTTTTTAGAACTTTTAGTTGTAGAACCCTGTTAAAAGCTCCTGAGTTTTAACATTTTTGACCATAAGATTTCATTTTTTCACTTGAAGGTGAAGAGAAATGAGCCAGTTTCTTTATAAGGAAAAATTTTTAAAACTCAATAAAGGTAGGGACAATTTTTATGTATTTTCAATCACTTTTCTTGGGATTTTTTTTTTTTTTTTTTTTAGAAAACAAGCCATTGGTGCAGATAAAAAACAAATCCATTTTTTTTTTCCATATAGGTCTCAAAATCTGTAGCTATTATGAGCTAGATAGAACTCTATTCAAAGCCATTGGTAGCAGATAAAAAACAAATCCGTTTTTTTTTTTCCATATAGATCTCAAAATCTGTAGCTATTATGAGCTAGATAGAACTCTATTCATCTGTCCTTCAAAAATACAGAAATCTGCCCAAAGATAGAAGAACCTCTCCTAGGCTTCCAGCTAGGGTGCATCCATATCTCAGGGGCCAAATTATAGGAGGAAAGAAGACAACAAATGTGGATAGAAGCTAATGCAGTCTCCATAAAATAAACAACCAGATGTTCTAAAGAGCACCACAGGGAGGAAAGCACTGCCACAGGTCTTTGGAGAGTGACTTCTCCCCTAAATGGAGTGTAATGCTGTCCACTAATGGAAAAATATGTGCTAATGCCTGAAAATCCCCCAAAGGGTGCAAAGCAAGAGGTTCGGGTGTCTCACAGTCTGGCACTGGCAAATGAGCAGAACTTACACCAACTGGGTACCTTAGCCTTGGTCAAAGGATGTTTACACTGTCTTTAAACAATGTTTCTTTGCAAAACATGCTACTGTTTTATTAAGCCATGAAGTAAACAAGTACTTCATATACTTCATAGTCAGTGATTTTAGGTGCCATGCAAAAATTACTCAGCAAAATTCTTCAGCCCATGTCTTGAGATCTTACAGCTCAGGTGTAAAATCATTTTATCATGTCAAAGAAACCCGAATAGCCTTTAAATGTTTCCTTTTTACCTCCCTAACTGGGAGCTGGGAAGATAAGAAATTTAATACATAATTGTCATCTAGCTGAAAGAAGAAACGACTTGTCCTGCACAATTTGGATCCTCCAGAATTCAGAAGCTGTGCATGCCAGCCAAATTCTGGACCATGTGACATAGAGGTGCAAAGGTTTCCCAGGTGCCCAATAAATTAATGAAAAGATTCCCACTGGTTTTGATAATGGAGGTCCAAGCCTTCTGTGGAAAATCTCAGGGAACCCTTATTTTCAAGATCAAGACAGTTCCTTCATAAGATTTTTATTAACAGCTTTTGTAAGTCAGGTAGCACATACTAAAGCTAGAGAAGTATGGGAAGGGTTGGATAACCACCTTTCCCAATCAGGAAAAAGTGAAATAGCATTTGGGAATTTATTGTAAAGAATCATGTTTCAAATGTATTACAAGTTACACGTGGAGCTACAATTTGGACTAGTTCCAGCTTGTCAATTTTCTTTAGTAATTCTACTTTATCAGCAGTCAGAGTATTACTGTTCAAAAGAGTCCTTACTTCTTTGTATGATTACAGAGAGCTTACTAGGAAAATAAGAACACACAGAGAATGTCCATTTTTGTAAATGTAAATGCATATATTTAACATAGGCTACTCTCTGGAGGTTCTTGGTGAGGGTATCTGTAACAGAAAGCATAGAACAAATTCTCCTGTAGTATTAAACATGCAGTTTTCATAAAGCTGGCGCTTTATTCCAGTCTCCAACAAAATGGAATATTCCTTTAGTTTCAGATGGGCATTTAAAAAAATATCTAAATCCTTTCACTGCTGTTCTGTCACTGTCTGCAGGGTGGAATCAACACCATCAGACATCCTGTGTCCCTCCAAGAAAGAAGACACGAGTCTTCTTTCACAGCAGTTTGCCTTCAGAAGGCACCCATTTCCCAGTGAAAAGAGGCTGGGAAGAAAATACTGGCAGCAAACTTCTTTCTTCCCCTAGGGAACCCAAAATAAAACTGGTGTGCATCACAAAGATACCCTTGGAGCAGTGCAGCATCTGGATCACAAAAGTGTTTCTTGAGGAAAGCTTGACTTTCAAAGCCATGTAACAGCTAACAGGGAATTTATTGGCTCATGATTTAATTCATTAAGCTGGCCTACTAATTATTTCTCCATCTGGCTTCGCACTAGTATTATTTATGTAACAGCCATCTTTCTTCACCACTCATATATAAATAAAAGCCTTAAATCTAGATTAATTGTTCCAGTAAGTTTTAGCATTTTTTAAATTACTGATCTTGATTAATAAAATGGAGAAATTATAATAAAATATAAACTGTTGATGATCCTTTGAATTTTTTTATACAAATTAGTATTAGAATATGCATTAAGAGCGTTACACATTTAAATTGAGGAGAGGTGGAAAAAGCATCATAAGTTGAGACTCATGTTTATGCTCAAAGAGCACTGCAGATGGCAGGTCTCTGAGGTCCCATAGTCATTGTCAGAGTGTATTCAAAACAAAATTAACACAAAAAGCCCAAATAAATCATGTATTGACAATCTAAATTTATCTGTCACCTTTTTATTCTGCTTGCTGAACAAATGGCTTTACCAGCAGCTTCAACTTACAAGAAAAATGTTATTTTTCCATAAATGTTTTTTCTTCTCCCATGAGAACATGGAAAGGAAATCTAATAAAATCTAAAAAAAACACCAAAAAAACCCACCCCAACAAAACACCCAAACCAAACAAACCCCAAGCCCAAAAACCTAACCAAACCCTACATCTACTATTCTTCTTCCTTCCACTAAATTTCAGTTTGCTCTATCACTAGCTATATATTTATCTCTCTATGCAGAAAGAAAATGAAAACAATCAAGTAACAGAGAGAGTTGGGGTTTTGGGCATAACACAACTGTCTGGTTTTCCCTTTGCACGACTCCATGGTCCTCTAGGTGTGAATCTGGCCTTCAGTCTGAAACATTGTCCACTTGGGAAACCCAGAGATCCTTCCTGCCATAGCACTTTACTCTCAGCCACAGCTAGGGAGAGGTGCTTGGACCCAAGGCTGTCAGCTTTCCCTCAGATTTTCTCTTCCTGCTGGTCCTGTCATCACAGCTGCTCTGCCAGTCAGAAAATGCCACAACAACATCTCAGCACAGGAGAACGTGCTTGCTCCCAGCTGGTGTCCCAGCCAGGGCATTCTTAGCACCTGCACAGCTCTTACCACGTTTGCTGCAGCAGTGCATTTAATGCAAAATTCCATAAATTCTAAAAACTGTCAAATCCCAAGCACAGTTCAGACAACTACAGGAACTGCAATCACAACAGTAAAGAAGGTAAAGAGAGAAAATCTTCAATACTCCAGTTATCTCTACATTACAGTTTTCTTACCCTTGTAGTCCATTGGCTTTGCATTCTTTAGAAGTTCCATGCACCTGGTTTCCTCCTTGTGAATCTCCAGCTGAAATCTGCATTCTGGATGGACACCATCCACCTGTGTCAAATTAACAAATTAACAAATGTCTTGAAACTGGAATGAAAATGCTTCATGAAGAATGCAACTACCAACAACGAATGCCACAACTTTAACTGGCACAGGTTTCACTCAAGCATGTGCTAGACACACTCAATGCCCATTTTAGCTTCTCACACATTGACTTTTCAGAGCAAAATGTTGAAATACTCTACTGGTTTCTTCCTGTAGCATTCATTCAGCTTTCTAGTGCATTCGTCAATATTGTGCCACCAGATATTTTTCTCCAGAAAAACTCTGAGCTGAAACTGAAAAAGGAGAGAAGATTCGTTTGCTCTTTTCCCCTTTTGTAGTAAGTTAGGGAGCTGAAAGTTTAGTACAAATCACAGGACATGAAAATTTATCAAATTTCATTCTCTTTGACATGGTAAATTCTGCTTTCCTTCCCTTTTCCACCATATTTTATCTCCTGAAGGCCCCAGACCTTGATTATTTCATTCAAGCAAATGCTACACAAGAAGAAAACCCCACTATGTAAAAATTAAAGCACTAATGCCTTTACTGGTTCAAAGCACTACCCTCAGTTCTTTGGTTTTCAGAAAAGTTTATGTATGTCCACAGGAAGAGAGGAATGCAGCAGTACTGGAGAGAGAAACGAGACCCTGGAAAGTTGTACTGGGGTCAGCTCAATTCAGAGAGGCAGTCAGAGCCTCACAGAGAAACACATGGAAGAGACTGCATGGGAGAAATTACTGCAGGAGGTGGCAAATGGAAAAGCTGGAAACATCAGTGGAGCTGATGGGACAGTTTGATTAGCTCAAATGAAATCACATCTTAATACAATAAAATGAGTACTTCAGTCATCCTTACACCTCACACTTGTAGTTACCAAGAAAAAGGTGGTCTCTCTCCAAGTTTCTGTCTTTTCTTTCACTACTTTTAGGAGACATTTAATAACACAATCGGGTAATGATCTCTGATGCATGACACAGCAATTTTTAAAAAATGTTAATAATTAATTAAGTTGTGATTCTGGGCCCAGAACCTCGGATCCAGAGTTAGGACTGAGAACCTGATGATGCTGCAGTCTCTTCGTGGACAACCACTTGCACAGCTTTTAAAAATACAGTGCAAGAGCCATAAGCATAACAGCAGAGGCTGTTACGAAAACTCACAAAAATCTCTCTCTTCTCCAAATATCTCATTTCACAACATCAGAACCTGACTTCCTTTCCCATGTCTTTTGTCTAAGTTGAGTATTGCACATGTTTCAAGTGCAGAATTCTTTTCCTTTCAGAGACACATATTTAACATATATTAGGATTTCTAGAATTTGTAATTCAAAGTTCAGCATTACACTGAAAATACCTACATTTTGGTATGTATAATCTTCTTTCGCAGATAGCGGCCATGTAAAATAAAAGTCCCATGTATACATAATATTTTTTAATAGCACTTTCCTTTCAAAAAACTTACTTTTGGCTACTTTTCATTTCCAAGTGCTAACATTCCATAACTTGACAGTGGTTTTCCTACTCACCAAGAACTATTACAATTTCTGGGTGTTGGAAAGGAAGGTTCAGTTAATAAAAAAGTTAAATAAATGAAGGATAAATCAAACTAGCTACTGCAATTAAGAAGCCTGCTGAATAAACAACTTCACTTTCTGGTACCTCAGAAATATCCATTCAAGTACCTCCATGCAAGTATAATCTGGTACCTCAGATTAATAATAAAGTTTTGTTAAAATTTTTTTATTTCCCAAAGGTGGCATATTACTTTTCACAGGTGGGCTACATGCTAAACTGTACTGTACAATGTTCTAATGCATCCAGTTCATTCAGACGGACTTCACAAAGCTAAAGAGATTTAGGGTTCCAGACTTTGTGGCTCTGACCACCTCCCGAAACACATCAAGATTTTGAGGGCACTCAACACTTTTTAGGACTTATGCTCATGAATCTTTCCCTCTGCTTAACCAACGGTGGGTTATGCTTCATCACCAATGAACACAAACCGCATGTAAAGGCACACACCGAGCTGGAAATCCAACTCAGGAGTATCTCTGCATTTTAAGCAGCTCAATAATTTCTAAAGCATCTAGACCAGCAATTTGATGAATAAACATTTCTTCTGACAAGCAGCTTGCACTCACCTTCAGTATGGTTTCCCGACTTTTAGTGTTACACAGTAACAAAAAATTTAAAAGGCTTTAAAAAATTTTTTTGGTGTGTATCATATTTCCATCAATATAACTGACTTTTACAAACTACTTAAGAAACGCTTGAAAATATACAGATGATAAAAGCAGGCTCCCTAAAGAGGACTTCAATATTCTGATTACTTTGTACATCGCAATCCCATTGTACATATTGCAGAGCAGTTGTAGATGTGAGGCTTTTCCCCCCACAACGACGGCCAGTGGCTTCTGGACCGCTACCGGGCAGCGCTCGGTGAAAACTCTTCGCAAACCAGCGGTGTCCACCGGCCTCGGGGGAAACTGCGGGGCTCAAGCGGCGGTTCCGCGGGGATGGGACCGTGCCCGGCGGAGCGGAGCTGCCAGGGATGCGGCAGGGAGCGCCGGGGGAGCTGCGCGCCCGCTCCGCTCGCCTTCCCCGCCCGGGGACAGCGGCGGGAGGCAGCGCCGTCCCGGAGCGTGTGCGGCCGGGCCTCCGCACCTGCCGCGCCGAGCCCCCGCCCCGCGGGGCTGCGGAACAGCCCGGGGGGCTCCGCTCAGGCTCCTCCGGTAGGCGCCGTGCGGTGTCAGCCCGGCCCGCGGTCCGGGGCGCAGCGAGCGCTCCCGCGGGCGGGCGGCGCGCCCGAGACTTACCCGGGGCAGGCTCCAGCAGAGCGAGAGCAGGAGGATCGGCAGCGTCCTCATGCCCGCCCAGTGCCCGTCCGAAGGCGCTCCGCGGGCCCCGTTGGAAGGCGGGGAGCGGGGTCCGGGTCCCGCCCGGCACCATAGGGTCCGGGGCCGCTGCCGGCTCCCCTGCCCGCTCCCGCACCTGCCCCGCTCCGAGCTCCCGGCCCGACCGCGGCCGTGCCCGCCGCCGCTCTGCGCGGAGCTCCTCCTCTAGCCCCCGGCTCCTGCCCGCCCGCCCGTGTCTCCCCAGCCCCTCTCCTCGCCTTCCTTTTCTCCTCCTCCCTCTCGCTGCCTCCGGCGCTCCCCCCATAAGAGGTGCGAGTCGCTGCCCTGAGCCGGGACGCCCCCCGCCCATCGCTGCGCCCCGCAGGTGCCACCGCCACCCCCGGGCTGCTGCCGGGCACTGGATGCTCATACCCCTCGCTGCCCGCTCCCAGGTGCCGGAGAACCCCCTCTTCCCGTGATATACGCCCAGGCAGCCTGGGTGCCCATCCCGCAGCTCATCGGTGCCCGCTCCGGGATGCCTTTTGCCGGGGAAAGCAGTAAGATCATCGAACACAGACCCCTCAAACCAGGCACGCACGAAAAACGTTGAGGGGTGAGTGAAGCGATCCCTGGCAGGGTCCGTTTCACCACTGTGTAGAGCAACAGCTGTATTACTAAAAATTTCTTCCCCACAACTCTTCTTTTTCCGAGTTCTCAATAGAGAAACAAGAGTTTAAGGCAACTCCATGATATTCCTTGGCAGTTTACGCCAGGCATGGATCCGGGTTTTGCCTCACGAGGCATAGAAAGTACACATTTAAATGACATGTTAGCACGTCCCTTGTGTTACAGAAAAAGAAGCGTTTATATATTGGCTTTTAGCTGAAAAAGGGGATTTTTTACGGTTGCCTTTCCATTGATTTAATATGTGTTGTAATGTAAGTATTATGTACTAAAAGGAATTGAGGAGGTAGCATAAAACTCTCCTAAATAGCCCCCAAAAAAAACAGCTACAAGCAAAGCAAGGACACTTCTATGAGAAAAGCTAAAGAGAATTTTAATTTTTTAATGTGTAAGCAAAAATTATTTTCATATATTAAGAAGAAATACCTGATTATAACATCTTTGGTGTAATAAAAAAGAAATACTACAAACCAATAAACAGTACTATAACTTGCATGCTGAGAGCAGAGGGAAACATTCATGTAGAAAGAAAAAGTTGTAGGATGGTATATTGTCAGGTAATGAAAATATTCTCATTGTTGCAGAAAATAGTACCTCTTTGGATTGACTTTGATCTGCATGTGATAGGTGGACTGAAAGGCCAGACTGCATCTACTGACACAGCTGGTTTGCAGAGGAGACTGGTTATGCCATTAGCTCTAAGATTCCCAGGCAAGCTCTCAGGTCAAAACTCCTGGACACAGAGAATTGCACAGTGCAGCCCCTCTGTTTCCTGAGACCGGTGTCTGAGATTCCTCTTCAGGCTCTTGGTTGACACAGGCAGTCTGGATCTGCTCCTCACAATTTCTCTAAGAGCTATAAGTCTTTCCAAAATAACAATATCAAAACCATTCTTTTATCATTCACGAGAAGCTGATGTTTTATCATTACTGCAAGGCTTTGGAAAATCCTTCCAGTCTTCTCTCTTTAGACGTTCTTTCTTGCTCTTTGTGATGACTGGCATCCCGCTAAGAGAGCAGTCATTCTCATGAGTGGAATTAATACGTGCCAAGGCTCATCAGGTTCATCAGCAATAAACCCCAGGGCAGTCCCTGTGCAGAGCAGCCACCAGGCAGGCTGTGCCCCAGCTGGGCTGCCCCAGCAGCTGAGGACACAAGAGTTGCCAGACACCAAACCCCAGTGTTTAATTCTTCCAGCAAATAATTCATTAGGCTGTTGAAGCTGAGTAGCCTGGGAAACCAATTAACAAATTACTGTTAACGTTCTGTGTAGAAACAGTCTTGGGAACTGTCATCATTATTCCTTCTGTGGAATGACAGAAACTAATATCTCAAATATTAATAGTCCACATACGCTAGAACTAGCAAAGAAATTTTGAAACTTACATCTGTTCTATCAGAAGATTGTACAAAGATTTTTGTGATGTTTTATTTTCAATTAAACAACATTTTTAGGTAAAAAGAAATATCATCAGTTATTTCTCAACCCTTTCCTCCATTGCTGTTCCCAGTGACTCTTTGACATGAAAGAGACAGTAGATGAAGGAGATGTATCAAATACTAATATTTTTGTTTATATATAGCTAAGTGCTCCTTTTTCCCTAAGAAGAAAACAAATTCTTGATGGATAAAGTCCAGAAATTATGGTTCAAGTTCTTTTCACCTAAACCTATCACAGTTCAGTGCTCTGTTACAGCGGATGTAGAAGGGAAATAAAGAACAAGAATGAAACTAGAACAGCTGTTGATATATAGGAGTAAATACAAATGAGACTGATACTCTTAATCAGCAAAGAACAGATAGGTTTATGAAAGAACAAAGGAGTCATATACATTTAGGCAGAGTTGATTTGATGACATTTTAAAGAAGGGACTGTCAAATTAAAAGGAAAAATTTTATGCAGGTATCCACGAGGCACAGGACTGCGAACACACAGAGAGAATGGAGCCCAGAGAGAATGCACAGAAATTCATCACAATAGAGGTGGTAGAGAAGGAAATGCATTTTGAGAGAAATAAATAGTATTTTTGATCAGCTGAGCCTGGGTGTTCCTCAGAGGGCAGTAAAAGCGGAAATAGAAAGTTCAGTGATGGGCAATGGACACAGCGTCATTTTGAGCGAAACAAATAGTATTTTTGATCAGCTGGGTGTTCCTCAGAGGGCAGTAAAAGCGGAAATAGAAAGTTCAGTGATGGGCAATGGACACAGCGACAGGCAGCGCCAAGGTACAGCAAGTTCTCTGCTCTCACAACACATTGAGGACCCAAAAGCTTTTCCTCAGTTCCAGTTGTTGGAAGAGTCTTCCTGCTGAGGAAAGGTACATGCCAGTAGAGCCATAAGTAACAATTACTTGCTGCCTGGCCATCTGTCTGTTTACAATCCTCTAATACAGTGCTGGCAGTAAATGGCTGATTTAGAGTTTCCATACTGAAGTAATGAGACCAATCCTCTTTGAGCTCAGGTCTTATTTAAATTGTTGATGGAGTTCAAGATGCTTTGAAAATTTGTATTTTACTCAAAAATCTTCTTCATGTTCTGTGTATAAAGTCTCCAGATCCGTTGCTTTCATTGTTTAAAAGGAGTTGTTTTTGGTTCAATTATCTAACAATTATTGCTCACACAATGCATAATATAGAGTTGCCAGAAATACCTAAACTGCATGAAAAGTTTTGAAGGGTTTCCCTCAAAGCATGTGTACAAGCCATCCTGAACAACGTGCCTCTTGCAAGCCTGTCTGTCTCTTGAGCTGCTCAAGCTGTTTTGTGTGTTTTGAGCCCTGCTTTCCAGACCACAGAGAGTTTATGTGGAATGCTGTACTAAGTCTCATTGCCAAAGGAGTGCTCCTCCTAGGTGTTCACACTTTTCAAAGACACTAGGTCTTCATCAGATATTCCTAACTCTCCCAAAGGCACTCTACTGTCATCCTGCATTTTGTTAGGTTGGTTGTTTGGGTTTGTTTTTTTTTCCTGCAGTCCAAATATTTAAGGAAAGTTTCCATCAAGCCTTGGAAATAGATTTTAGAAAGGGTTTCTAGGAAAGAAAGATTGTGACTAGTGTATGTGCAGTTTGGATCTTTTATACTGGAGAAAATTAAAGTTCTGTAAAATTTTAGTATCAGTAACTATTAACATACTTGATCTTACTAAGCGTCTCTCAGTGATCAGATAGAATATGACAAAGAAGGTTCCAAGCCTGAGTGAGGCATACAGTATGTGTCCTGCTCATGACAATGGGATTTCAGACCTTGGGCACGCTCCAGGGGACGTGTGGCTGCAGCACCATCCTTTGAGAAGCAGCACAGTGATCCTACTGTCCAACACTCCAGCATCAAATATTGTAGCTGCAGTAAGAGGAGAAAATGAAATTCAGGTTCTCTGTGTTTTATCTGAAGATAAAACACAGAGATGGTGTCCAGAAGTTCTAAAATTTTGTCACCATTACCGATCATATTATGTCCCCTCTTGAACGCTGTGTTGGTTTCTAGGCAGAGAAACACCACACAGACAGAGAGTTTTCTAAGGAAAGGCTGTCCTCAAGCGTGTCACCTCAGCTTTTTCATTCTCCTGCCTCTGAGCATCTCCAACAGTGTGTCTGGGAATGAAGAGTAGCTTTATGATGTAGCTGAGGGTGCATCTTCTAGTGGTGAGGCTCAAACTGCTCCACAAAACACTTTTTGGCAGTGGCCCGTGCAGTGGCAGTTTGCCAATATCAGCACACCAACTCCACCCCAATGCAGAGACTCCCAACCAGCAGCAGTGTTGTCTTTCTGTAATGTGCAAGTAGCTTGGCTACCAATGATGTTTCTGCAGAGTGCAAGTAGCTTGGCTACCAATGATGTTTCTGCAGATCACAAATACAAAGAAATTCAGTGAAAACAAAGACACTTTCCTGTCTGGTTTGTTAAGTTCAGGACTGCTGAATAGCTTGTTTAGAGGGATGTCTGTAGCTGTGAAATCCTCAGTCAGAAAATGGCACAGGGATGCTTTTCACTGAATGAAGTCTACAGTACTTAGTGTAAAGTATGTGATTTTGTTCTTTCTCTCTTTCAAATTTAGAAGACTTCCATGTAATTTCAAAAGAGCGAGAGAGATCCCTTTAGTATAATGAACTCTTTCAATTTCTTGGCTAGGGTATCCAATTTTTCTGATTTCCATTATCCTCAGATCCTTATTATACTCATTAAACTAATAGGCATTCAGTTATATTCACATGTGTAGATGAAGTAGAATTTGATATTTTAAATTTATACGTTAAATTTAAAATAAAGAAGCTGGGTATTTGGCTGGTCAGTGCTTTTTTTTTTTTTTTTTGAGAGTTTACTGGACATGAAAGCATCAAATCTTTTTCTTCTGATACAATGAGAAGAAAATTCTCCCATTTAATTTTAGGGTTTTGTAATAGTTAGTATATTTAGTTTATATTTGGTTTGTTTGTGGTGGGTTGTTTTTTTTTTTTTTTTTTTTTTTCAATTTTAAAGTAAAGGGTAGATCTTCCCAAAAAAACTCTAAAGACAAAACAAAAAAACTACAGA